GGAGGAGGAAAGAGCACGAAGTTGGCGAGGAAATTGACGACCACGGTCACGAATATGACCTCGAAGACGAGCCTCGTCCTCGGTTGCTTCTGGTCCGTTCCTCTCGCGGCCGAGGTCGTTCTGGAGGCTGCGAAGCCAAGGCGCGGCGTGCCCGGGCGGCGGTGGGGAAGGAGGAGGAGGAGGAGGAGGAGGAGGGGGAGGGGGAGGGGGAGGAGGAGGAGGGAGGAGGGGGAGGAGGAGGAGGGGGAGGAGGAGGAGGGGGAGGAGGGCCAGAACAGGAGTTTGTTTTTCAACATCAACGACCGGGCCACTTTGTACACACCCCTCGAAGGATGGGGAGGTGGAGGAGGAGGAGGAGGAGGAGGAGGAGGAGAAGAAGGGATGAGGAAGGGAGGTTGAGGGAAGAGGGCGAAGGGAGGAAGGAGGGAGGGGAGGTTGGAGGGAAGGGAGAAGGGAGACATGAGCGGAAGAAGTAGGAAGAGGGGGAGAGCAAGAGAGCAAGGACGAGCAGGAGGAGCAGAAGGATGAGGAGTACATGCATCAACAGATGCGCTGGGGCCGCCCTCTGGCAGCTGGGTGGACGGGAGCCTGGCAGAGCGTGAAGGAACGGAAGAGGAAGACGAGGGGGAGGAGGATGATGACGAGGAGGGGGGACGTGGATGAGGAGTGGGGAGGAGGAGGAGGAGGAGGAGGAGGAGGAGGAGGAAAGGAGGAAAGGAGGAGGAGGAGGAGGAAAGGAGGAGGAGGAGGAGGAGTAGAAGGAGGAGGAGCAAGCATGAGGAGAAGGAGGAGGAGGAGGAGGAGGAGGAGGAGGAGCAGCAGGAGGAGAAGGAGGAGGAGGCGCAGCAGCAGGAGGAGCAGGAGGAGCAGGAGGAGAAGGAGGAGGAGGAGGAGGAGCAGGAGGAGGAGGAGGAGAAGGAGGAGGGAGAAGGAGCAGGCGGAGGAGGCGCAGCCGCCGAGACGAGAGACAGGAAAAGGTGGGGGGGAGGACGAGGAAAGGATGCGGGCAGGCGGAGGGACCGCCGCACCGGGCGGAGAGGCCGATGACGCTGCCGCTGAAGTCCACGGCGCTGCTGTGCATCGACTTCCAGAAGGACTTCCTGGACGAGGGGGGCTTCGGGCACGCGCTGGGCGACCGGTGGAGCCAACCTCGTCGTCGTCGTCGTCGTCGTCGTCGTGGTCGTGGTCGTCGTCGTCGTCGTCGTCGTGGTCGTCGTCGTCGTCGTCGTCGTCCTTCCTCCTCCTCCTCCTCCTCCTCCTCCTCCTCCTGCTCCTGCTCCTGCTCCTCCTCCTCCCCATCCACCCTTTCTCCCTCCTGCTCCTGTCGTTCCATCCTCGTCATTGCTGCCTCGTCCTGCCCTCCTCATCCTCCCCCTTCAGCCGGCCCGGATTAGTAGGTCGACCTTGCCAAGTCAAGGGTACCCTCGTGTCCTGTGTCTCGCGGCCGCCCATGCCTCCTACATTTCTGTGGCAATGTGGCCCTCGGAAGGGTCTTGTGTCCTCTCGCGCGTCCTGTCCAATGAAGTCCGACGTTCTCCTCCCTTCCTCCTCCTTGTTCTCTCCTCATCCCTCCTCCTCCTTCTCCTCCTTCGGCCGCATCGCCCTTCCCCCTCCTCCTCCTCTTCCTTGTCTTCGTGCTCCCTGCCCCCCTCCTCATTTTCCCTGGTTTATCAACATGTGTTTGCTTATCGAAGTACAATTGCTTGTATTGCGATTTGTTCTAGGTGTCAATAGTGTCTTTGCTATTCGTATGTTCTACTAGTGGTGTTATCAGTGTTGTTTAAGTAATAGTTATTAGTAGTCGTACAGTTATTAGTATTGTCCTTATGATTGGCATCGTCATCATTATCAGCAGCAGCATCTTCATCACCATCGTCATCATCAGCAGCATCATCATCATCATGATCATCAGCATCATCGTCGTCATCATCATCATCATCATAATCATCATCATCATCATCATCATCATCATCATCACCATCATCATCATCATCATCATCATTATCATTATCATCATCCAGAATCATTATCATCATCATTAATTTGATCAATATTTGCATTCGTATCAGTACTCTTTCTTAGTATGACAATTCTTATTAGGCTTCGGAATATTTATCAGAGTGAGGGGGCTGAACCGAACGGTCATTCACCGTCCCTGGGTGCGTGGCTGAAGTGGAATTCCGCGATGCGGATTTTTGTTGTTGGTGGTGGTGTTGTTGTCGTTGGTGCTGGTGCTGGTGTTGTTGGTGTTGGTGTTGGTGTTGGTGTTGGTGTTGGTGTTGGTGTTGGTGTTGGTGTTGGTGTTGGTGTTGGTGTTGTTTGTTTGTGTGTTTGTTTGTTGGTGTTTGTTGGTGTTTGTTGTTGTTTGTTGTTTGTTGTTTGTTGTTGTCGCCGACCCACCCGCGACCCACCCCGCGACCCACCCACGACCCACCCCGCGACCCACCCACGACCCACCCCGTGACCCACCCGCGACCAACCCCGCGACCCACCCGCGACCCACCCGCGACCCACCCGCGACCCACCCCGCGACCCACCCCGCGACCCACCCCGCGACCCACCCCGCGACCCCCCTAGCGACCCCCCTAGCGACCCACCCACGACCCACCCCACGCCCTCCTTTTGGACGCCCCCGACTGCCCGATGGCGCCTGTCTTTGCACGGCCCGAAGCCTCACCGCCGACGGCGAGTGCGCCAACGGCGGTGCCGAAGACACCCAGCGCCTGGAAACGAGTCAAGGCGGCCTTATCTTCTCCTCCTCCTCCTCCTCCTCCTCCTCCTCTTCCTCCTCCTCCTCCTCCTCCTCCTCCTCCTCCTCCTCCTCCTCCTTGGCTGTGGCGCCCCAGGGCCACGTGAGGGAGGCAGAGAAGCGGGGCCGTTTACCCCAACATCGGCGCGAGAGCTGCCCGCACGGGTCGCGCGGCGGCGCCCTCGTTGCCGATGTGACCTGCCGCGCTGGCGGTCCGCGTAAGCTCGGGAGCGGAAAAGAGGGGGGTGATGACTATCGGTATCGTTTAACCAATCCCCATCCCCATCCCCATCCCCTTCGAGACCCCTAGCAAATTACGGCCTCGAAACCCAAAGGATACGGCCTATATCCCCGTCTAGGGGGGTAAATCGGCCAGTGGGGCCCAGGCCACGCCGCTGGGGATGGGGATCGGTTAAACGATACTCAGACTAGGGGGGGGTGGATCTCATAGCGCGGGTCATGATTTTTCCTCAGATTTCATGGCGCCTCTTCTTATTTCATGACGTCCCTGGCCCCCCCGCTGGGCCGCGCACATGCCGCCGGTCATGAGTTGCACCCCCCCCTCTTGGACACCCCCCTCTTGGCCGCTCCCGGTAAGCCGCCGCGTCAGGTCGCCATGCCATCTCGCGAAAGAACCCGTCTCGTTTCGTCGCTCGCGTGTCCGGGTCCTCGGGCCTCCAGGGTCCTCGGGCTCGGGGAAGGACGGCAGGGTCGGTCGGCATCGCAACTGGAAATCAGAGCGGATCGGAGCGTGCGTCGGATCGGGTTGCGTCGGCACGGAGTCGAGCTCGGATTTGATCTGCAGCACCAGGATGTACAGCAGCGCCATGGAAGCATCGGACCCAAAGCCTCGCCAGGTCGTCGGCGTCGTCGTCGCTGCCGCCGAGGCAACAACGTCACCGCCCTGGTGGAGGACTGCATCCCCGGCGCCGAGATCTTGCTCGCCGCGGCCCGCGAGGGTGGCCGCCCGCCCTCTCGTGGTCGTCGGCCGCCGTCGTCGTCGTTGCCGTCGCGGCCGCCGCCGTCGGCGTTGTCGCCGCCGTGCTTTCGCGTCGTCGTCGTCGCCACCCGTTTTTCGCCGTCGCCGTCGCCGTCGCCGTCGCCGTCGCCGTCGCCGTCGTCGCCGTCGCCGTCGGCGTTGTCGTCGTCGTCGTCGTCGTCGTCGTCGTCGTCGTCGTCGTCGTCGTCGTCGTCGTCGTCGTCTTCGTCGCCGTCGTCGTCGTCTTCGTCGTCGTCGGAGGAGGAGGAGAAGGGAGGACGAGGAGGACGGGGACGAGGAGGATAAGGACGAGGAGGGGAGAAGGTCTTCGGAGGTTTCAGGACATCGCAGGAGGAGGCAGAGGGAGGGAGGAGGCAAGGAGGAGGAGGAGGAGAAAGAGGAGGAGGAAGAGGAGGAGGAGGAGGAGGAGGAGGAGGAGGGTGGGAGGGAGCGAGGGAGGGAGGGAGGGAGCGAGGGAGTGAGAGAGGGAGGGACGGAGGGAGGGAGGGAGGAAGGGCGGGAGGCATGGAGGCGGAGGGAGGGTTGAGGGAGAGAAGCATGAGGTAGGGGTTGGAGGGGGCGAGGGGGAGAGGGGGATGGAGGAAGGGAGGGAGGCAGGGAAGGATAGAAGGGGGGAGGAGGGAGGGTAGGGAAGCAGGCGAGGAGAGCCCAGGGGTTGAGGAGGGAGGGGGGGAACGAGAGACGCCCTGGCGTCGTCTTCTCGCTCGTAGCTGCCAGGTGCAGCACTGGGCGGTCGGCTCATGAGCGGCGCGGGAAGGGAGCCCCGCCAGCGAGAAAAGGCGCGCCCTCGGTCAGCGTCCACGCGCCAGCGCGCGAGTCCGAGGAGCGGGCCGACCTCGCTGGACTCCGAGCGGCGGCTCGCGCAGTCGCCCCTGTGCCCTCCCCCCTCCTCCCTCGCTCCCCCAAGACACCCCAAGAGCGCTCTTCGAGACCCTCCTCCAAAGGCCCAGTTCATGGATGTGTCGTGGGCCTTGCAGAGTTTCAACGTTCCCGCCCGTTTCGGGCCTCCAGTGCTCCAGGACAGCCCAAAGGCCCCCAAGGCCATCCACAGTCGGCCAAGAGGACGCGAGGAGGGCCTCCCTCCTCCTCCTCCTCCTCCTCCTCCTCCTCCTCCTCCTCCCTTCTCCTCCTTCTCCTCCTGCTCCTGCTCGTGCTCCTGCTCCTCCTCCCCCTCCTCCTCCTCCTCCTCCTCCTCCTCCTCGTCCTATCCTCCTCCTCGTCCTTATCCTCCTCCTCCTTCTCCTCCTCCCCCCCTCCTCCTCCTCCCCTCCCTCCTCCTCCTCCTCCTCCTCCCCCCTCCTCCTCCTCCTCCTCCCTGCGCCCCCTCGCCCGCCTCGCCCCCTCCCGCCTCGCCCCCCCCTCCCCCCCCACCCCCCTCGAAGGCGGACGGCTATCGCCTCGCCCCCCTCCCTCCTCCGCCCCCCCCCGAATGCGGACGGTTTTCGCCTCTGCCCCTCTCGCCTCGTCTCCTCCCCCCCCGAGGGCGGGCGGCTTTCGCCTCGCCCCCTGGCCCCCCCCCTCCGAATCGGGGGTTGCTAGTGCCCCTGGCCCGAGGTGCCCCCAGCTTGTCGCTCCATCCATTTCGGAGCCCCTGGGGCCCCCTGGGCCTCGTGCGGGGTGCTCTGGAGGCCGTGGGGGCCTCCTTGGAAATCCTGCGGGCACCTTGGGCCAGGGGCACCTCTAGCAGCACCCGACCGAAGGCGGACGGCTGCCAGCCGTGGTGCACACGAAGGAGGCGCACCGGCCCGACCTGAGCGACTGCCCCGCCTGCAAGTTGGACGGCCCCCGCGCCGCGCCGGATGGCAAGCGTATTGGGCAGGAGCTGGTGGAAGGCGGGCGTCGTCGTCGCCGCCGCGAGGGCGTCGTCGTTGCTGTCGGGCCTCCGCCCGGGTCGTCGTCGCCGTCGTCGTCGCCGCCGCCGCTGATGGTGGAAGACGGGCCTGCGGTGCCGGCCCAGTGAAGCATTTTCGGAGGCACTCGCGGTCAGGACAGCTGTTGGCACGTCTGCGTTTTCTCCCTTTCTCTCCCCTTCACCTCTTTCTTTGTTGACCTCCTCCTCCCTCCTCCTCTTCCTCCTCCTCCTCCTCGTCCTCTTCCTCCTCACCGAGGCCAAGCTGGGAGCGGCCTGCCACCCCTGCAGCTCGCAGGCCGAGGAGGAGCGCTTCGCCTCCCAGCAAGGGGCGGTGGGCCGCATGGCTGGCTGGGTGGCCCAGGTGTGCGTGCTTGCCAACGGGAGCCAGAGGGACACCACGGGCAAGCAGGTGCTGACGAGGGCCCCGAGGCACGAGGAGCAGCACGGCATGGTGCGTGTCGCCAAGCGCCGCCGCACCCAGCCGCGCGGGCAGCCAGTGCCCGAGCCCGACAGGAGAGTCGACACGAGCCTGAGCATGGAGCACGACGACCAGGACGGCGACAGCAGCGGAGGCGAGCCGCCTCAGCGCGGGGCCACGGTGCTGTCGGCGGCGGCGCTCGCGGCGGCAGCTGGGAGCGCAGGCCTGGCGGGGGGCTCCGGAGGCGTGACCGACGGCAAGGACCCGGCCCAGCGTGACAGCGCTGTCAGCAGGGGCGAGGCCGACCCCGCCTCGCCCCGCGGGGCCCAGCAGGGGACGGCGAGCCAGGCCAGCGGCGGTGGCCCCGAAGGCCTGGCGGGCGGCTGGGCAGCGCGGGTCACCCCGCGGAGCGGCCAGGGCTGCAGCAGCCAGGCCTGCCACGACGACGAGGACAGCGACGACGCGCCGCTGGTGCAGCCGCGCAGGCAGGCGGCACCGCGACGACGGCAGCTCTACACGGCGAAGGGCACGCTGGCTCGAGGAGGTGACAAGCGGCCCCGCGAGGCCGAGGCTCGGCAAGCAGCGCTGGAGGCGAGCAGCAGCCAGGCCGATGGCAGGACTGCCAGCCTGGACGGCATCGGCCGCCGCGTGGCGGCACGGCTCCAGCGTGAGCGAGGGCCTCAGCTCTTCATGCCCGACGACGAGGGCAGCGTGGTGGGCCTGCCGCTGCGGCACCGTGCGCAGTGGGTCGGCGGCGACAGCGCGCTGCCCTTCGCATGCGACCGCTGCGGGGTCCGCTGCAGGGACCGCGCCCAGCTGGAGGCGGGGCTGTGCCGCGGGACGCCTGCGGCCGTGCTGGCGGCCGACGCGTCGCACCGACTGATGACCATGGGCGACGTGGTGTTCTGCAGCGCCTGCGGAGCAAGGGCGAGCGGAGGTGCGGCTGTCCTGCTGGCGGCAAAGTGCTTGGGCAAGATCGCCAACGCCACTGCGGGCACGAGGCTCAACAGGATGAAGGCGGGGAAGCACCCGATCAAGGGCCACTTCATCGGCGAGCCCGTCCAGCTGGAGGCGCGCCTAACGGAGGCCACAGCGGACGAGGTGCCGACGGCGGCATGAAGTTCGTGGGCGGCTCGCCGCCCAGCCTGGGCACTGCTGCGGTCGTTCGGCCTGCTGGGCGGCAGCGGGAGGGCGCTGGGCGGCGAGCGGCCCCTGGCGCGGCGCGGAGGCGGCCTGCGCCGTGCCGCGCCTGCGCCGAGGTGGGCTGGCGGCTGAGGCCGTAGGCCCGTGCCCGCCCGCGCGGCGGCGGCGGTCGGCGCCGTGCCGCGAGGGCGTGCCGCGCCCGTGGCGGCGAGGCGGGGGGCCGCCGCGCCGCTCGGGCGCTCGGGCGGCGCGCCGAGACAGACGGCCCGCCGCGCAAGTGGGTGCGGCTCCTCCTCCTCCTCCTCCTTCTCCTCCTCCTTCTCCTCCTCGTCGTCGTCCTCCTCCTCGTCCGTCCTCCTCCTCCTCCTTCTCCTCCTCTCCTCTTCCTCCTCCTCCTCCTCCTTCTCTCTCCCTTCTTCTCCTCCTCCTCCTCCTCCTCCTCCTCCTCCTCCTCCTCCTCCTCGTCCCTATCCTATCCTCCTCCTCCTCCTCCTCCTCCTCCTCCTCCTTCTCTCCCTCCTGCCTCCTCCCTCCTTTTCCTCCTTCCCTCCTCCTCCTTTTCCTCCTCCTCCTCCTCCTCTTCCTCCTCTTCCTCCTCCTCTCCTCCTCCCTCTCCTTCTCCTGAGTCCCTCTGTCCGTAGCCATTTCGGCTTGACGTCAATGGTTGCCTGCCTAGTGAGTACAGTGGAAACCGCTAGTCCGCGGCCAGTTATCAACAATCTTTCAGGCTACCTCAGTCGAGCCGCTCGCCTCATTCTCCCGTGTGTGCTCCCACTTGCGGATGACAGGCGATGCTAGTAACACGAGTCGTCACCCCCAGCGGCGTGGCGCGGCTGCAGATGACTGGTGCTGCAAATGGTACGTTCATTATGTCTCGTGGGCGGCCTGGTGGAATAGGGCCGACAAAAACAGTTGTCGGAAGTGCGGGGTCGCGAAAGCAACCGCATTCAAAGGGCCACGGGCCGAGAACGTAGAGTACGGCAAAAACTCGCCCGGTGGAGATGCAGAGGCTCCGCCGTGGCAGATGGGTATGTTGGCAACGTTGGAGAAACAGCTTGTGCTCACACATAAGGAAACTGCCGACGCCAAACGTCACGAGGGAGGAGGTGGCGGAGGTGAATGCGCGGAGGTCGATTCAAGCGAGTTGCCGCCGCACGCATCCACTACCCAGATCAAGGCAAGGTTGGAGACAATCGATCAGTCCATGCGAGCCACCAGTGATCCCAATGAGTCGTGCTACCTGGCAGTGAGAGAGTTTGGATGTTGAAAAGAGGAAGTTGCGTGCGGAGCTCGAGTCGTCGAAGTCAGTCCCAGGGCGGCTCTGGTCCCTAGCTTACCAGTCGCATCGGTTGCAGCAGGTAGTAGGGTGTGTAACCATGAGGAATCCTTTTCGAAGGCGCAGAAGAATTTGGAAAACGACGTTCAGGCCACGACCAACGAAACAACAATCTTTCATCGTGGAAGCTGAACAGGCGATCCTGGCTTTTGCGGAGGAGCAGGCAAAGGTGGCGGCGGCAGTACTGAGAACCCTACTCATCGGGCACGGTCCGAGTCGTCTGAGGTTGTCGCTCCCTCCTCGTCACAGCCGAGAAAATAAGCATCATCTTCAAAAGGGTTCGTGGACGATGGCACACTCAGCCCAAAGCTGGGGCAAGTCCTGGCGGAGGTTGCGAAGCTTGAGGAGCGCAAGAAGGCAGCCGATAAGGTCAAAGCTGGAACTGCAGCCAGCCACAGCAGCAGTACATCACGGACTTGCTGTGCCACCGCATGGTGGAGGAGACAAAGCATGCGAGGACCCATGTGGAATCGACGTGCCCCTCCCGAGCGCTGGGGAGACAGACTTGGATGACTTTCGTGAGCTCCCAGGGAAAGCAGGCATTATGATCTACGACGTCGACGAGGCCGCCGAGGCCACAGTCAGAGGCGTCGCCAGGAAGTTCACAGCTTGCGTGGAAGAAAGGAAATCTGAGATGCGCGCCATGGTCCGGTCGCAGCTGAGATGCGTGCCATGGTCCGCATTATATAAGTTTCCCCCGTGTGGTTATCGCTGGGTTTGGCGAAGGTTGCGACAGCGTCGGGAATGCCGAGTGCAGGTGCGACAGTTACCTCAATTGAGGCGAACCCCTTGTCTTGGAAAGCTACGTCGGCGCCGGCTGAATCGCAGGCACGCTCGGATGATTTCCAGGTCGGCGGGGCGGCGAGCGGGCCCCCTCCGCCAACTGCTGTGGCAAGGGCCGCGGGCGCCAGGCCGCGGGCGCGCGGGGGCGGCCGTTGCCTTGGCCCACGCCCCGCATCTTGCTCGCGCGGTCGACGGACGGAGCGCAGCCGCGAGGGGTGGGCCACCCGCGGCTTGCTACGAGGGACCGCGGAACTACCCCGCGGCGGCGGACTGGCGGGCTTGGCTGCGAACGCGCGGGCGGCCGTTGCCGGGGCCCCGCCCCGGCCCCCTGCTCGGGGCGTTGACGGAGGCAAGGCGGTTTCGAGCAGTGAGGGGGCCGCAGCGCAGAGCGCCAAACGCGCCTGCGCGGGCAGTGACCAGAGCGCGGCAGCGAGGGGCGCGATCGCCGCCATTAATGATTCGGAGGACAGGCAGGCAGTTGTCAGTGTTTATCAGCGAGCGCAGTCACGCAGCCCTTTCGGGTCATGGGCGCCACATTCCAGTGGACAAGTTGGGAGATGCTCGGCGCCGCGTGCAAGGCACGGGTTGGCGGAGAGCTCGGGCCCCTGCCGCCGCGCCGGGCGCGGCGAGCGACGCGCGGGCAGGTCTTGCGGCGCGGGCGGGCGCGCGTTGTTAGCCACGGTTCCTCACGTGGGCGCTGCGTCTCTGGCCGCGGGCCAAGCCGTGCCAGCCCGCGCGCGTTGGGGGGGTCCTCGCGGCCTCGTTCCAGCTCCAGTTTACCTTTACGTTAGTGAAGGGTGGCTCGAGGGCAATACTCGGCATCGCGCGTGAGATTTGCCGCTGCTTTGGGCGTCTTGACCATGCTGGTCACGACTGGGTAGCTGCGGGAGATTTAAAGATGGGGCCCTGGGAACTAGGGGCCCCCCGATGGTCGCGCGGCCTCGGAGGGACCCTCCGCGCTCCATCAGCGCCCGCATTCAGGCAGAGCGCCCCAGGTAGGTGTAATACTTATGCATCAACATCGGTGGGCCTGTCTCCTCGCCTGTGCCAACCTTAGGTGGGAGAGGAACGCCGCGCGCCCCCGCGCCCGCCGGTTGGCCTGGGCCGAGCGGGGAAGGATACCTTTGCAATGCAGAAGTGAAGGGCCCAAGGCAGGTTCCAAGGGTCCCAGCAGCTGTTTGCGAGCGCTTCCCAAGAGAAGGGCGCGGTGCCAATGGGGGCGACCGACGGCCAGTCTTTGCAGGGGGCCCGGGACGCAGTCGCCCCGCAGTTGGGGCGAGAGCTACTTCAGCGGCATGGTCTGGCAGGCAGGGCGGGGGAGGCGTTTCGAGGGGGGGCTGGGCCAGTCGAGTTCATGCTCGCCCAGCTCCAGTGGGAGTCGCCGCGCAAGAGGGGCTATGCGCCAAGGCTGAGAGGGCCCGCGCGGTTGCCCCCAGGTGGGCCAGACACTTCAGGAGGTCCAGGGGGGCCATTTCCAGTTTGATGAGAGCTAGTGGGCAGCGTCGGGCGGGGGGCCAGGGCGACCGGGCCAACCTTCAGAAGCTGCCGAAACGCATGATGGAGTCAGGTTGTTCTTTCCCGGGATGCAGTCTGAGGGGCAGGTGCTTCGTGAGCTGGACTCTCTGTCGCCTGAGTTCGCGGGGGAAGGCCCCGCTGACTGGGCCAGGCCTAAATTCGGCCGAGCCCCTGAGGAAGCCGAGAAAAAGACGAAATTGCATCCTGACGAGCACTCGCAGAAGTCAGCGGCAGCCTGGAGAGAATAGGCAGCCGACTCTCGCGGGCAAGGCATACCGGCGGCAAGGCGCGGTAGGAGGTGGTCGACGCCAGCCTGCGCGCAGGCGCGGATGCGCAGCTTCGTGAGCTAGCTGCCAAGGAGGCTCGCGCGTTGGAAAATTAGGCCACGCACGATGATTCGCCGGAGCCCTAGCCACTGCAGGGGGGCGGTGGCTGGGGGCAGCTGGCAGAGGACACGGCGGCTGACATCGAGAGGGCGGTTCTCTGGCTCCCATGGCCCACGGGCGTTGCTTTGATCTAGTGTCTCTCTGGACTGTATTTGGGGTCTGCTCGGGCCGTCTTATGATGGCCGTTTGTGTTGTGTTCTGGCTGGATGCTGGTGCGATTGCCACAATTGCGTTGGGATGCGTTCAATCGACGCTGGCGGCGTCACCGCCGTCGTGATTTTCGTAGGCCCGGACTTCCTCGCGTCGTAGAAAAACCACGGCGGGCCTTTTTGTTCTGATGTCGGCCTCTGGATGCCCTGGATGGGCCCCAGGACCGTCTCAAAACTAATCGTGATGATGAACCAGTCCTTGGGAATGTGTCCCTGTCCTCCTCCTCCTCCTCCTTCTCGTATTCCTCCTCTTATTGTTCCTAATCCTGCCGCCCGCTGCTTTTTGTAAGACAAATCCCGAGACGAGCATTGCTAGACGCATGCGTTTCTCCTCACATCCGAAGTGTGTATCTTGTGTTCTCTGGACACCCCGCGCAGGAACACCCCCCGCGCAGGAGGTCCCCCCTCTTCTTCTTCACATCACTCACTCACTCACTCATTCACCCTCTCATTCCCTCACTCACACACTCACACATTCGTCCTCCTCCTCCTCCGAATCATCATCATCAGTATCATCAGTATCGTCATCATCATCAGCATCAGCATCATCATCACCATCACTATCACGATCACCATCATCCATTACTCACCTTCATCCTCGCTCACGCTCTCACCCACTCGTCACAACCATTGATCAGTCACTTATCATCCTCGCTGTCACCACCACCATCGTCATCATCACTATCACAATGCCATCATGATCATCCACTTACAGTCGAAGTGAACAGTGAGGAAGTCTCGAGCGAGAACACCCCCCCTGAGGGCCCCGCACTTCATGGTCGAATCCGAGGCGGGTCATCGGCCTAACAAAGCAAGCATAGCAGTTGAGCACCTCCCGGAGCCTCGTCCGTGAGTGAAGCGTGAGGAAGTCTCGATCGGGAACACTTCCTAAGGGCCCCGCGCTCCATGTTCGAATCCGACGCGAATCATCGGCCTACCATAGCAGGCGAAGCATTTGAGCAACCCAAAGAGCCTTGCCTGTAAGTGAATTTCGAGGAAGTCTCAGGTGGGAGCCCCCCCGTCTAATGGGCCTGCACTTCATGTTCGAATCCGAGGCGGGTCATCGGCCTACCATAGCAGACGTAGCAGTTGAGTACCCCAAGGAGCCTCGTCTGTAAGTGAATTGTGAGGGAGTCGACGGGGAATACCCTCCCTAAGGGCCCCGCATTTCATGTTCGAATCCGAGGCAAGTCATCGGCCTACCATAGCATGCGTAGCACTTGAGCACACCAAGGAGCCTCGTGTCTGAGTAGATTGTTGAGAAGTCTCGAGCGGGAACACCCTCCCAAAAGGCCCCGCACTTCATGGTCGAATCCGAGGCGGGTCATCGGCCTGCCAGAGCAAGCATAGCAGTTGAGCACCTCCTGGAGCCTTGTCGGTGAGTGAATTGTGGGGAGTTCTCGAGCGGGAATTCCCTCAAGGGCCCCGCATTTCATGGTCGAATCTGAGGCGGGCCATCGGCCTACCAGAGCAAGCATAGCAGTTGAGCACCCGACGGAGCCTCGTCAGTGAGTGAATTGTGAGGAGTTCTCGAGCGGGAGCCCCCTCCCTAAGGGCCCCGCGCTTCATGGTCGAATCCGAGGCGGGGCATCGGCCTACCATAGCAGGCATAGCAGTTGAGCACCCGACGGAGCCTCGTCGGTGAGTGGGTAGTGAGGAGTCTCGAGCGGGAGCCCCCTCCCTAAGAGACCTGGATTTCATGTTCGTTTCCGAGGCGGGGCATCGGCCTACCATAGCAGGCATAGCAGTTGAGCACCCCACGGAGCCTCGTCTGTGAGTTAATAGTGAGAAAGTTTCGAGCGGGAGCCCCCTGCCTAAGGCATCCGGATTTCATGGTCGAATCCGAGGCGGGTCATCGGCCTGCCATAGCAGGCATAGCAGTTGAGCACCCCACGGAGCCTTGTTTGTGAGTGAATTGTTCGGAGTTCTCCAGCGGGGAATCCCTCCCTCAGGGCCCCGCACTCCATGGTCGAATTCGAGGCGGGCATCGGCCTTGGGCACCCCAAAAAGCCTCGTCTGTGAGTGAATTGCGAGGAAGTCTCAGGCGGGAGCACCCCTGTCCATGGGGCCCGCAACTCATGCTACCAATCGGATCGGGTCATCAGAACCTTGTAACGGTCATCATTGTTGGCCTGTTCGCAATGAGTCTAGAACAAGTCCTTCCGCATGCAGAACATGCTGGTCCTCCGCCCGCCCGCGCGAAAATTTCTGGAGCGCGGGCCGCCGGCGTCCTTGCGGGAGGCGCTCAGGAAGTTCGACAAAGCAGCGGTGAGCTCCAGGGCTGAGGCGGGGCAGCTCGCGGCAGAGCCGGGCTTCGCGCTGCCTCCCGCCCGTGCGCGGCCGCTAGCGGTCTGGCCATCGGGTGACGCGCCCCTGCCGGCCGCGGCGGCGACGACGCCAAGAAACATCGCTTCACGTGCCCCGGCCAGAAGAAAGGAGAGGCGCACGAGGAGAAGGGCGACCCGCAGGGCTCGCAGGTCCCACATGCCCCACAGGTCAAGCAGGTCCAACAGGTCCCATGGTCCCATAGGGCCCCACAGATAGTACAGGCCGCACGGGGCCACAGGTCTTGCAAGTATCACAGGCCCCACAGGTCGCGCAGGCCACGACGGTCCCACGGGTCGCACTTGCCCCACAGGCCCTCAAGGTCTCGCATCCCCAACGAATCCTACGAGGCCCACAGGTCTCAGCGGCCCCGCAGGTCGCATCCTGGTATCTTAGCATTACCACCATCTCGCGTCGTCGACGAAGGCGACTCGTGCGCAATAAAACGATTATCATGTGGGGTCGTTCTCTCGAATTCCCCGCGGGCCTACCGGCGCATGGCTGGTAGGTTTCTCAGCCCTCGGAAATGTTATCGGCTCTCGCCTCGGGATGCGTTCCAGCAGCTGCACCTCGTCGAGGGCGCTCCTGCAGGGGTGCACGGGTCGCCCCGATGGGCCGCCAGAGGCCCGAGGGACGGCCCGAAAGCCAGACCACCCCCGGTCGCGCCCACGCGAGGTTTTTGGTCGTTCTCGGCCTGTGCGGGGCCTTTACTCGGCCCTGGGGCCATCAAAAGCCGACTCGGGATGAAAAGCGGTTCCCTTGGGATCTTGTCCAGGCCTCCCAGGCGTGGCCCACGTGAGATCACGACGTCGGAGGTCCGGGGTCGTCGTTGGAATCGTCGCGGTCGTCGTCCGGATCGTCGTGGTCGTCGTTTTCTTGGTCGTCGCCGTCGTGTTGGTCTTCCTGGCCGTGGTTCTGGTCGTCGTGGTCGACTCGGTCCGCGCCGTGAGCTCGTGCACGGCTGGGACGGTCGTGGTGGTGGTCGGTGTGCGTGCTCGAGTGTTGTGGTGGTCGTGGTCGTCGTGGTCAAGTCAGCTTTCGAAGTGAGCTCGTACACGGTTGTCCCGGCACGGTTGTGGTGGTTGCCCGTGTGCCTTGAGCGAGGGCCGTGGTGGTCGTGATCGGCGTGATTGGTTCGGCCTGCGCCAGGCCATGGCCGTCTGCTAGTGCACGGTTCCCCCTGCAACGAGTTCGTGGACAGAGCGAAGCCCCTCGATACGGAGAAGGCCACTGGGAAGGAGGGGGATGGGGAAGAACACGAAAGCAGCATAAGCAGAGAGAAAGATGCGGAATTCTTGCGGAGGGGGAAGTAAAATGGGATCGGGAAGCAGAAGGACAACGGGAGGGGCAGAGCAGATAGGGATGTGGAGAATTAGAGGGGCAAGGAGGGAAAAGGGGGGGGGGAAAGAAAGTGCAAGGGGGGGGGAGAGCGAAACGGCAGGGGACGGGTAGACGGTGGAGCGCGCCAAGGGCTGCGCCGGAGGCATTGCCAGGGGTCCAGCGCCGATCTCAGACGTCCGCGTGGGCCTCCACGAGTTTGCGCTAATGTAGTTGCTGTTATTCTTCTAGGTACCGGAGGGGGGAGAGGAGCCCTCCTCTGGACTCTCGGCCTCCATACGATTCCAGACGCCTTTCCGGAGAGGGCAGGGGTCCACTGAAACCGCGCCTCCGCGTATCCACTTAGTGCCTTCGCTGTGCGCGGATGTCGGCTCCCTGCTTGGCTTTGGATGCCTTATCCACCCCACGGTATGGTCCAAAACGATCGCTGGGCATGTGGGACGATCTGCGGCCTGGTGGTGGTGGATGTTTTTTCCTTTCGGTTCCGAAGAGAGATTGCCGATCTCACGCTCATGCCATTGCGTTGCGTAGCAACTGAGAGACTACCATGGGCAGACCCCTCTGGCAAGCATGCAGGCAGAGGAAAACAGAGCTCCCAAGCAAAATATGTATGCTGGTCGAGCTCGAACAGTATTCCAGGATCCAGCCTTTGCTCGCAGCCCACTCTCCGGAGGTCAGGGCGGGTTCTAGGATCAGTTGCAGTGTCTGTGGGGGTTCGCCCCCCCGGGCATCTGGACAACTAAGGTCTTGCAGACGCCCTGCCACGCGGGGAGTTTCAGAGCGGCCGGCCGGGCGCCCGTGTTCGACGAGGCCGCTTGAGAGCGTCGCACGGCCCGCCCGCGGAGGTCCGTCCCGCTTTACGGGCCGCCGCCGCGCGTTCGCCCTGAGACGACTGCTCACTTGCGCAGCGTGCGGGGATATGATGCCCCAAGCTCCCAGGGTGAACGGACGCCTCCTGCATGCCTCACACACGCGGGGTTCCAGCGAGCAGTGGGGCGTGCATCGGCTGTTCTGGTTGCGGGCGCTTCGCCACCAGGGCAGTCAGACATCTCAAGGATGACTGCTCGAGGGCGGTGACCCGCTATGGCAAGCAATAGCTCAGGCGGTTGGCCGAGAGGACTCCCGCCAGGCAGTGGGAAATTGTCTGAGCAGCCGCTGCAGAAGAAACATGTGAAGCGACCAAAGCTTCACAAGACATTGCCTGAGACAGGACCAAAACAAACAAGAGGGTGCGATGGGGATGGGGGGGTCCTCTCGGGTCGGACGAGAAGGGGGGGATCTACAGAAAGAAATCGATCGAGGTTCTCAGTTGTTTTCGGCCGTTCTCGTCGGTTTTCCAGCATCGGTGTGCACTGCAGCAGCTGCGCCTCGCCACGAGCGCTCCGAGGTTTGCATGGGTTGTCCCGAACAGCCGCTGGAGACCCGAGCTGAGACCCGAAAGCCATACGGCGAGGATCATTCGGGTCGGACGAGAGGATGGGACTGGAGAAGGGAGGGAGGAGGGAGGAGGGAGGAGGGATGATGAGGAGGAGGGAGGAGGGAGGAGGGAGGGAGGGAGGAGGGAGGAGGGAGGAAGGAGGAGGGAGGAGGGAGGAGGGGAGGAGGGAGGAGGAGGAGGAGGAGGAGGAGGAGGAGGAGGAGGAGGAGGAGGAGGGAGCTTTGCGAAGTCTGGTGAGGGCTCCAGCCCCGCCGCCGGGCGCCTTGCCCCAGCACTCTGGCGCCAGGAGCAGAAGCCACGCGCGCTGAGCCCGACGATGGCTCCGTCTCGGGTGCAGCTCTCGGGAGGTCAAAGTTCGGGAGTGGACAGAACCCCCACCCTGACACGTCGATTAGTGAATTGTACGGTTTCGGTTCTCGAGACGGCGACGCGGCCGTCATTTTCCAGGCTTGCGCCCGCAAGGTTTGGGCCTGAGGTCGTTTTCACTAAACCACGTTTTACTAAAGGGGGTTCTGTCCATCCCCGAAAAGTATGCTTTGGCCCCGGTCCGACAGCCGACTGAATCCATGTCATTCCCGCTGAATCCGGCTGGCGCCCGCTTGATCCGCGGCCGAAATCTGGCGTAGTAGGCTCCATCTGGAGCTTGATCTTCCTTCATCATTCCGACGAAGACCTCCCGATAGTTGCCTCCCATTTCAGTGGTCTTCTCGGCCTCTCGACTGCCCGCCCCATGGCGCTGGCAATCCAAGCCGCCAGCGTCCCCAGTCCACGGGGTCCACCTTGGCCTCGGGAGGCCGTCCGCCGGCTTGCGGAGAAGCTCCTGGACCCCCTTTTGGCAACGGGGAGCGTGAAAGTTGAGCGCGCCGTCGCGTGCGACAGAGAAATTTGAACGACTTGAACAATTATGGAATTCGATACAAATTGAGTGACATTGAGACACATTGAGTCATAACTCGTGGCCGGAAGGCGGCTTGGTAGTGTTGTCAGCGCCGTCTGGCTTGTTAAAGCGGCGGCCACCCCCCTTCCTCCCCGTTCGGTCGGCCTTGTTTTCCCTGTGCCTGCTCTCTACGCCCAGGCGAGACAGGGCCGTCGAGACGCCCTCCCTGCAGTCGTCCTCCACCTCGGGCCTCCTGGCGACTTCTCGCCGCCGCGGCTGGATCCGCTTCGAAATAGGGGGTCGGGATGGACCCCGGGAGGGGCCTCGGGACCATTCTGGGGCGGATTTGGGGCCATCGCGATGCCCTTTTGAGGGGGTTGGGCACGGAAAGGGCAGCTTGCGCGGCTCTCCAGCTGGCCGGCGCGGTCCTCCGACCCTGGGGGGCGGACTCGAGCCGGGCCCCGAGGACACGAAGACGATCGTGCCTCGCGCGTCGCGGTCTGGGCCAGCGTGGTCGCCCCTCCCCAAGGGGTCGGCGCGAGGATGATCGCGGAGCGCGATGCGCGAAGGCGGGTGGTCTAACCAGTTTGCCCCCACCCCCAACCCACCCCTGCAGCGTCCTGCAGGAGAGCCGGCGTCGTCGTCGTCGTCGTCTAGTCGTGTCGTGCCGCATTCCCTTTTTGGGGGCCCTGGCCCCGCGCGCGGGTTTCGCCACGTCTCGAGTCTTGGAGCCTTGGGTGGTCCCCCGAGGGGGGAGGGCGGAGGGAGGTGCTCCTCGCCGTCCCCCTGTTTCCCCCGCCTCTCTCCCTGGCATCGCTCGGACGTGTGCATCTTATCTCGGCGCGGAACATCGAGGAACTTCCTGGATCATCGGGGGAACAAGCACGCCCGAGATCTAAACATGCATGGGGGATGGACGTCCGAGCGATGGCGGGCCTCGTTCTGATCGCCAAGCACATCGTTGCGCGCGCGACGCCCCCCTCGAGCCGCCCCCCCCCCCCCCACCCCGCCCCCGCCCCCCGCAGGTGGTGTGCAAGCCCGGCAAAGGCGCGTTTTTCGCGACCGACTTGCACGAGTGACCTCCTCCTCCTCCTCCTCCTCCTCCTCCTCCTCCTCCTCCTCCTCCTCCTCCCCCTCCTCCTCCTCCTTTGGCCCGACATTGTCAGCAAGATGGAGGCACTCACCAGCGCCGAGAGGGCTCGCCATGTTCGTGGGCCAGTCAGCGCGGTGATTGTGACACTTCTGCAGTATCATTGGGAGCCGATATCGCCATCGCATTGGCGACTCTCACGCGGTGAAGGTCGTGAGCAGATCGAATGGCATTTCAATGATGACGAGCTGACGGGCAATGAAGATTTCAGTGATATTCTCGCAGATCTTTCCAGTTCGGTCAGGGAAGTTCTATGGCAGCAGGCTGCGGCACATTATCTTGGCGAGGGCATGGCTGAGGGCATAGACAATGACTCTCTCCGAGCCTTGCTGAGTCGTCTCGGGCAGGTACCTAAGGGTGCACAATGGGCTGAAACCATGGTAGCAGTGGCGACTGGGGGTACTTGGCCTCGTACACGCTTCGAGCTAGACGACCAAGAGTTCAAGTTGTGCCCCAGATGCTTGCTGCACGGTGAGAGGTACCCCGAGACACCTCTGCATCGCTGCTGTCTGTGTCCCCAGAACACAGGCCACCAAGCATATCGCGACTCGGACCAGTATACGCCGCAGGCGGTCAGCCAGCATGAGCAGTACGAATGTTTTTGGTTGCGTGGACTGTTGCCAAGTTCGTGGACAGCAGTAAGTCCACCAGCTACAGCAGAAAGTTGGACAGTTGACTCCGTCGGCACGCATTGTGCACTTCCCTTCTTGCCCCAGGCAGACGAAGGAGGTGTGCAGTACCGGCCTTCGGAGCTCAGGCATGTGCCGAACCCCACGCCCGCACAACCTTTGCATACAATCTCAGTGCCCTGGAGCAGTGGCCTCATCATGGCAGAGGGCACTGACGACAACCCAGTGTACGTATGTGGTGACGCTAGCGGTGGTGCAGACACCCATTCACCCAAGTTGAGGCGAGTGGGCCTGGGCTTCGTCATCGTTGAGCAGCGCAACCCTGTCAGGCTTGGGCTCGAAGCACAAGGACCCTTGCAGGGGCGGAGGCAGACAGTTTATAGAGGCGAGTTGGCGGTGTTGGAGTATGTCTTGCGATGCACTCGGGGCGCTGCCATATATCTCACAGACAACGAGGGGGTGGAGAAAGGGTGGACAAGCCGCACTTATCTTCGCCCACGTGAGGCCAATTCAGATGTTGACTTGTGGAGCGCCATCGGTCAACACTTGCATGCCGATGGAGATCGACACGGCCGAGTTTCTGTCATTTTCATGAATTCACATTTGTCGGAGGTTGAAGCTGCAGAGAAAGGATATGCGCCGTGGATGTGGCACGGCAACAATCGAGCAGATCAGTTGGCAGGACTTGCTGCGCAGGCACATCGAGTTCCACAAGACGAACGTACACGTGTCGCGCAGCAGGAGAAAAGAGCGGAGCTGGTCAGGCGTCGGCTCTTGAGGGCCACGATGGACGCTATGGCCGCGGATCCCAGGCCTCGTCGGGAGGCGGAAAAACTTCGTACCATTCCGCCTGCCCCCATCACTGTGGCTCGTTTCTGTACCACGCATATCTTGGATGACACGGGGCGCCAATGTGTGAGATGCAAAGGGTCCGCGGCAAAAAAATGTCTCGCTGATTGGTTGAAGTCTCCGTGTTTTGAGCTGCAGTCTGTAGACGGAGTTGTTTCAAGAATACCCTCGGGGTGTAAAGTCCATAGGGCTGGGGGGTGGCTGCATTCGACTCACAATCTCAGGTTTCACACTAGCTTGAAACTCTGGTTTTGCGGAGTGTGCGGATATTATGCCTCTGACCAAATCCGAGGGCTTGCATCCGAATGTACTCATAGGACCAACAAGCCCCGACAAGATTATTTAAGCAGGATCGAGGATGGGCTCTGGCCAAAGCTCCTGTCGTTGTCGGAGCAACGAGCCAGAGGCCGCATCCCTCCTTAATTAATCTTTTTTCGCTTCGCGATTTGACCATTCCCATTCCCATTCCTCCTGGCACCACCGCTGCGCGACGCTTGTCGGGCCGAGCCCACCGCGCCGGCGCGCCCGCGCGCCCGCGGCCGACGGGGCCCGCGCACTACGGACGAAGGGAAGAGTCCACCTCCACCCGCCAACCCATCAAATGCCCAGGGGCGAGGGGCGAGGGGAGGGGGCGACGCGAAGGCCCGCCCGAGGGCATTGGGGCATGGGGGCCCCCGCCGCTCCCTCGGGCGGGCCACCGCGCGCCCTGGGTGGGCACTGGGGCCTGGGGGGGCCCCGCCGCTCCCACCCAGGGCAACAGCTGCCCTACGCGGCCAGGCGCCGCTCTCGTCGTACAGCTTCATCTTGGCCGTTGTCCACTGACTCGTGAATCGACGCTCTCCAGTCAGCTTGCCGTTGTCCATGCGAGTGTTCTTGATGCTCGTCAAGTGGTGCGTTCATTTGGGCAAGCACTGGCTCCATGTCCTCGAATGCTGTGCACCCTCCGTGTGGTCTGTTGGCCCACGTGTTGCCAATCGCCTCCGCCAGTCGTCTTGATAACGCCATTGGATGCTCTTTAGCCTTCGCTATAATGCATGTCCCATTCTGACGTCATCCTGTTGCGATCTCGTGAGTATGGTCATGATGACAGTGTCCGTGATCTTCTCGTCCGTCGATACACGCGTTGAAAGCTGCACATTATATTTGGAGGATCGTGGTCGGCTTCCTGGCGGGGTGTCCGAATCCATACTGATCAAATGTAACTGGCGTTACGTTGCTTCTCCTCATGAGCTGTCTTGTCTCTGAGAGTGCCCAACATGATGCGGCCTTGGTTCGCCAGGTGCGTGCTGGGTGCTCCATGAGCATGGGTACGTACGATACTGCGCAAACCGCCGCCAGGTATAGAGCTGCTCGTATCAGTATGTTGTCCAGGTCCACCTGCTTTCGACTTCTCATCTCCATGCTAGGTGTGCCCCATGGAAACTCTGATGTACGTGATGGCGGCGGCGCTGTGTATTTCCCATCAGTGTCGGAGTATTTGGCACCACGCCATATTGTACAGGGAGGGCCTGCCAGTACCCCTAGAACACTCCCCTGCTTGATCATTCTTGCGAACACACATATATATATATATGTATGCTTCCGATTGGTGAGTTCGGCTGTGTCTGTTGAGTGTAACGCATCCGCTGATAGTACGGTGCATGGTAGGTCCGATTATGTTTCCAAAATTGGAAGTCACCGTGCCGTCTGTGTCCTGCAAATAGGTGTAGTATGTACGTGTACGCTGGTAGGGGCACTGGTGCTGACCATACTGGCTCGCCATCGTCTTCTCCTTCATCTTCGTCTGGATGGTCGTGCCGATAGCTGCCAATGAGGTAGTTGGCGGGTATGGTCGCTCCAGATGTCTGTGGTTGTGTTTGTCGCTCTGGCCCGACCTCTTTGCCCCGCTGCCGTCCACTGCCCACTGAAGCGTCGTCTCCCTGGACATGGCTTCCTTCCTGGGGCGTCGTGTCGGACTGGTCGTAGCGCTTTGGTCGCATGATATCCTTGCCTTTTGAGCTCTGCAAGGTGTGACCTGCCGGTCTCCATGAGATCTCGTGACTCTTGGTCGGTTCGGCCAGCTTGTGTCTCTTGAAGCGGTTCCAGGCATTCAGGTGAGCGATACCGCAATTGTGTAGCCAGCCTTAGCCTCGTGGGGTTTTCGGTCTTGCAGTTGCTGCAGTACGTCCCTGTTGCGTGCCGCTGCGCTTCGTCAGTGGGGTCGTGGTCTCTTTTGACATGAGCATGGAGTATCGACGCATTTTGGTATGATTTCCCACCGTAGTAGCAATGTATCTGTGTCGTTGTTGGTTCAGGTGGTGGTACTTCAGCTTGGGGTCATTCGAGAAATGCACGGGGTAGGTGTCGCCAATATGCCAGATGATGCTGGTCTCGCTGATGTGCTCTGTATCTGTCCCATGCTTGTTTGGGTAGCCGACGGGATGTTGGTGGGTCTGCGTTGATTTTGTTAATCCACTCTTGTGTGGTGAGGTGGCGTAGTGGATCGTCGCTGCTTTGCGCCAGGTGTCGGCATATCCACACAGAATCAGCAGGTAGCTGTGCGGCCCATCAATTTCTCGACCTCGATGTCTGCCCTGTTGTGTCCAACAGCTCCAGGAGTATGGTAGGGCGAGCTGCAAGAGCCGATGCCATGTAACGTAGCCTTCGCAACCGTAGTGCTGCCAATATTGGCGGTCCTGTTGCCTGGTACATGGTCCAGTCAGTGGTGCGCCAATGCCCGTCTTCGCTTGGTAGATGTAGCCGCACTGTTTATCGGAATGACTCCCCGCATCCAGAGTGGGGTTCTTGTTTTCCCAGGACGCCCTCTCCTTCCCACCTTCCCACCTTCCCACCTCCCGCTCCCTCTTCCTATTCCTACCATACTATACCATACCATGCAATACCGCTCCCTCTTCCTACTCCTACCATACCATACTATACCATACCATACAATACCATACCATACTATAGCAGACCACCGTACCTACCATACCACACCTAGGAAACCATACATACACCATCACCGCATACCTACCACACCATACAACACCATACAATACCTACCTACCACGCTCGCTCCCTCTTCCTATTCCTACCATACCATACTATACCATGCCATACAATACCATACCATACTATAGCAGACCACCGCTCCAGGGAGGCCCCGCCAGAGCGAGGACAGCATTCGCAAACCACATTATTTATCAGGCTTCGTGCCCCTCCCATCGCTCCAGGGAGGCCCCGCCAGAGCGAGGACATTATTCGCAAACCATATTATTTATCAGGTGTCGTGCCCCTCCCAGCGCTCCAGGGAGGCCCCGCCAGAGCGAGGACAGGATTCGCAAACCATATTATTTATAAGGTTTCGTGCCCCTCCCAGCGCTCCAGGGAGGCCCCGCCAGAGCGAGGACAGGATTCGCAAACCATATTATTTATCAGGTTTCGTGCCCCTCCCACCGCTCCAGGGAG